AAACCTCAGTCCAAAAGAAAGCAGAAAATAATAAAAACTTGAACAAATTGAACCCGGGTCAGGAGGAAGCACAAATGATATACAGTGTTAAGTTTTATCCTTACACTGCATTCTGCCTGAATCCAGTGGCCCATGCACTCTGTCTGATAGCAAGGCTCTTCACACCCCAGTGGCCCCCAAGTTTGAGGCTTGTGAGTGCATCTGCTCATGGCTGTCTCGGTACCTACTGTGATCTGTTGGGTATATGGAGGAGTCGTCTCCTCCACGTAGTTTTAGAGAGCACCCACTGCACCAGCACGGTGGAGACCACAGCAAATAAAACAGGGTCATCCCCTGCCTTACAGCCTAGAGGGGAGAATGTAGCAATAAAATAACAATCAAACATCGACTACAGGCCATTGCTACTAAGACAACGGAAGTGGATGGTGGATCCCCTCTGACCATGGACCAGGGTTGTGAATAGCCTTGTTATCATGCAGACTGCACCAGAACATGCATGGATTACTGCAGATGCAGATAGGTTCAAATGCAGCACCCTGCCATGTGACGGTCTCCCTGGTGATTCATTTAAATCAGTTCTAGTTTTCAATATGTAATGCTTTCTTTTCCATGGAGGTTTTGATCTGTTTTACTAGTTGTGGTTGTTAGTTTGTTTTTAAAACGTCTTTCTGTGTATGAAATCCAGGACAGGTAGATATCTATAGCGACAGTGACTGGGTTAAGGGTTCCTTGGCGGGTGGCCGGGAGCTAAATAACCATAATAGGAGAATGAAGAAGATATTGTAAACCTAATTGTAGTGGTGATTCTTCTTGGTGTGATTGGATTGTTACCGAATTGTATGAGATGTGGCTTATGTGCCAACAAAACTGTTAAAAAATAAGTCAACTTTTAAAAGGAAAAAGGAAGTGGCATGAGAGACCGCAGCATGCTCTCACAGGCACGTGTGCATCTGCAAGCCTGTTTTTCCCCTGGGCGCCCAGAGGCACTAGCTAGCCCTTGCACTAGCTATCCCAGTACTCAGTGGAGCTACGGGTGGAAGGAACCCCCGGTTGATTCCCAAGTTCCTGCTCACAGTTACGCACCTCATCATCGCACAAAGCACTCGCTCGCCTGGGGGTTGAACCGAGACTAGGAAGAGAGACGTAGAAGTTAAAGACTTCGCAAAGTTCCTCAGGGCAGTGTGCAGCCAACACGTGTGAGCTGCAGCTATTTCGGGGGTCCCTGGGGCATACCAACAGAAAGTTCACCCAGAGACGCCTCCTAAGAAAGCCTTGGTGATCTACTCCCATAAAACCAGCTCTTGAGAACCCTCTGGAGTACCGCTCCTCTCTGACTCGCCCGCGGTGGCTGCCAGTTCGAGCCCACAGCTGAACAATTGCTTTAGGACGACCAGTATCCTGCGCATTCTAGAGTCCGGTCTGCGGGCTTTCTGTGTTTGTGGGCACTGGCTCATGACTGATGGATCAGCAGCAGGACCATGTCCGGATATCAGGACCAGCAAACTCTGATAAGGGCCGAGGGCGCAGGTTCAATGCACCATCACACCCGCACCCATCCCACAGAGGCCCGCAGTCAGGATTCTCATGCAGGGAGAGCGCCTGGGTGCCTGTATTTCATACGCACACCGCCCCCTGCCAGCGATCTCGGGTACTGCACCTCCCATCCCCGGGGCCCCCAAGGGAAGGGAAGGCCCTACAACTGACTAGGTGTGGGCCGATCTTGGGCAGGCTCTGTGCCGGGCACAGAGATGCCAGCTGGTGCTGATGCAGTTTCTTTCCCTGGCATGCCCAGGCTGGCCCCAGCCTCCCTGATGCCGCAGCCCCAGCGCCTGTCTCCCCCCTCC